ATGCTCCCTGCAATTTGGAAAAAAAATAATATTGAATACCTGCAAAACTTTTCAAATAAAAGAAGTCCAAAGAAGTATGAAAAAAAAAAAAAAATCAACTTCTCAGCTTCACTGCCTTGAAATTGATTCGTGTATCATTATATGCATGAAAAATTGCTCAAAGAAGACTCCTCGCTTGCATAGCTTGGCAAAGGAGCTGAGGTTTTTTTTTTCCCACGGACTCGCATGGGGCCATTCTACTCGGCTCAACAAAATAAGCCATTCTTTCCTGTTTTCCGAACAGAAAAGTTGATCAAACCGGAACAGCTAGCATACTAGACAGGATCATTTATACATTTTTTTTTTCTTTTAAAGAAATTTCACTTGCTACATTTCATAGTCCAGGAAGCAATGAAAGAGTTAATCTCCCATCCAGGACCATTCTTTTTAGCCTATTCTGCATAAGCGAACAGCATCTTGAGAGTTAAGCCATAAGCTTGTAGTGTTACAAGCTACAGTAGTGGCCAAAATTGTGGAAACCTTTTGGGAAAAGGGTATTTTCTAAAACTATCATATTTTTCGATGCACCTTTTCCCCCAAAAAAAGAGGGTGAAAATCTGGGTGCATCTTATACTCCGAATGTAGCCCCGTCCAGCTTCTCAAATGGAGGTTTCAGAGGCTAAAAATAGCATCAGAAATGAAGCTTCAGTAAAAAAAAGCCCCCAAACAGAGCTTCAGAGGCTTCTTTTCTGAAGCTCTGTTTCAGAGGCTTTCAGAGGCAGGAAAAAAACGTTTTTTTTCTGAAATGGAGTTTCAGAAGTTTCAGAGGCAGAAAAAAAAGCAAGGCACAGAGCTCCCAACCAAGGAACCTGTTGCTAAAATTCACCTCTGGGAACAGCTGATTGGGGGTATTCCAGGAGGTCGATCCACCTGCCAATCAGCTTTTTTCTCATCTTCCTCCCCAAAAACTAAGGTGTGTTTTATACTCTGGTGCGTCTTATACTCCCAAAAATACGGTAGCTAATAACACCGCTTTTTGGGGGGAATCGTACCATAAAATTATATATCAATGGAAAGATAATTTAATCAAGAATGGAATGCAATAACTTTTAGGAAGGATTTACTATTAGAATAGCAGTTACAGTATAAAGAAGGAAAGTGAAACATGTAGAAAAACCGAGATATACAAAAATGATCACCACAGAAAAAATGAGATATACAAAAATGATCACCGTCAGTTAATACTTAAGTTGGGTAATCTTTAGCATGAATTATGGCCTTACAACGTCTTCCCATGGAGTGAACCAAGTCTTTTAGTTCTGCAGCTGTTCTAATATGAAACCAAGATTGAATGATGGCTTCTATTAACTGGGGTTTATTGCTGGGTTTCTTCTGACTAACAAGTCAGCTCTGTAAATTTTCAATTGGGTTAAGATCTGGGTTATTCTCAGGCCATTCCAGCAGTGGAATAGGATTATCTCGAAACTCCCAAAAAAAATATGTGGTGTTATTATCCACCAAATCTCAAAAATACACTTTTCCCAAAAGGTTTCCACAATTTTGGCCACTACTGTATGTGCACTATACATTAGAGGGAACGTATTGTAGCCGCAAATTTGGTATGGGAACTTGGAAATTTGCGTTATAATATTGAAAATAAGGAATCTATAAATGACCTAAATTTCATAGCCTAGTTTTCATTAAAATGAAGCACTTGGGAAAGTGGAAGGAAACTTTTCCTTAACTTTGTCCCACTGTTGTTCTGTTTTGTTTACCTTTTGGTCTATTTATATTAATTTCTGTTTGATGTTTTTAAAATATTCATTAAGTTTCTTCAAAATGTTTAGGTATTGCATGTACTCTGTGTGAAGGGGTCAAGCAGTGAATAAGAAAGACAAATGAAGTGACACAGATTTTTTTTTTCTTTTGTATTCATTTGGAACACTACCATAAACGTTTTTCAAAAATTAAGCGGCTCTCAGTCAGTTGAACATAACTGAACTTGAGGGTAACCTTCTCACTTGAATGTTTTGAGAAACTGTTGCTTTTATATGTCCTAAAGTCATTGAAAAGTAGCTAAATTTCTAATTATTAGAAAGTTCACTAGGCAATTTAGAAAATATGTTTCAACACTCTCCAAAGCTTAATACTGGATCAGGAAGGAAGGAAGGAAGGAAGGAAGGAAGGAAGGAAGGAAGGAAGGAAGGAAGGAAGGGAAGGAAGGAAGGAAGGAAGGAAGAGAAGGAAGGAAGAAAAGAGAAGGAAGGAAGGAAGAAAAAGAAAGAAAGAAAGAAAGAAAGGGAAGGAAGGAAGGAGGGAAGGAGGGAAGAAAAAGAGAAGGAAGGAAAGAAAGAAGAAAGAAAGAGAAAGGAAGAAAGGGAGGCAGGGAGGAAGAGAAAGAAAGAAAGAAAGAAAGAAAGAAAGAAAAGGAAGGAAGGAAGAAAAGACAAGGAAGGAAGGAAGAAAAAGAAAGAAAGAAAGGGAGGGAGGGAGGGAAGAAAAAGAGAAGGAAAGAAGGAAGGAAGGAAGGAAGGAAGGAAGGAAGGAAGGAAAGAAAGAAAGAAGGAAGGAAGGAAGGAAGGAAGGAAGGAAGGAAGGAAGGAAGGAAGGATTGATTGATTTTCACCCTGTGGATATAGACATAACGGTGAAACAAATTTAATGCACCTGAAATGTCATAATTCTAAATAAAATATTTCAGGATATCAACAATCATTTAAACACCTGAATAAACACCACTGACAACTCCGCCAGGGTTTGGTTAGCTGTATGACAGGTGCTAGAAACATTTTGGCTACAAAGTACATACATCAGCAAATCCTAATGGCATGGCCTAAAATTCCTTTATTTCTAGCAACATAAAATATTGTTTCTGCTATGCTTGGCTGGTTTTTCTTTTGATATTAGCTCTAGTCAAGGATCTTTAAGTCTCCTGGCTTTTAATAGGTGAGATTGCATATCAATATTCGCTGAAGCAAACAGGTTTCAATATGCTTAACTTTGATCAAATCAACTGGTGGGAATCTGACAAACAGAAGTGCTTTCTAACTCTAATTTGAAATTCAAGTCATCCCGGGAGTATAATGAATGGAAGAGAATTAAAATAAATAGCCTCCCCCCCAAAAAAAAGAAAGAAACCAGATTTTCAATTCTCTCTATACCAGCATATTTATTCAGAAACTTTTAATGAAGCTTTTACTCCAACTTTTTGGGAATAACAAAAGATCTCCAAATAATTTGTATAAAACAGTACTGGAATGGTTCCAAGTGAACCAGGCTATTCAAATCGGTAAACTTGTTTTTTCCTACTTCCCTTCTGTTTTAAATGACCTTCCGTTAGTTTTATCTCGTTCCTAAGTCCATTCAATTCATCAATAAAATAAATTGGATACAGAAATCATAGGCACTTCCATGCATAATTCTTATAAGACAAACAACTTCACACAATTTCCTTGTTATGCGTTTTTCATCGGCAACTTCGGACTACTAATAGGGAGTTTTCCATTTTGTATCAATATCTTGAGTACATAGATGTATGAATGTCCATGTACAATAGCAGTCCAACTTATATAAATGTTTTACTTATTTTAGTTCTTTAAATTTTGACTAGAAACAGAAGCCACGATGAGAGAATCATTAGTTTCAAAGCTGTAACTAATGAATAATATTATTGGGTGCTTTGTAAGAGAGCTTGGGAGACAAGATGTTAATAACTTTCTGGGACACAGTCACAAGAATTAAGAACGCTCCCTTTTTTTGGGTACAATAAATCTCTAAATAGTGTCTGTGGCAATTTAGGATAATTAAAGTAGGTGCATAAGGATAATTAATGTATGTGCTTAAGTAAGGAAAGCCACCTGAAATCTTACAATGTTGACATTTTGGGTCATGCAATCCTTCGATTTGCATCAGTTTACAACACAATCTGCACAAAAATCCAACTTAAACCCAAGGCTCACTCCCAAGAAACTGGATCCAGAAAAAAAAAAAAAAACCTTACCTAAGTACTAATATACACTATCAAAGCAGAACTCGGTTGAGGATTTATTTTAGACAGGGCACATCAACTTGTGATGAAAAAAAGTTAAACCACAGAGTGCTTTCTCACAAGAAGCTCAGCATTCTTTCAGCTTTAAGAAAACAGAGACAAATTTGTTGACTCTCTAGAAGTCCCAAAGAGAATTAAGGCATTCCCTGAGCGTCAGATCAACTCTGGTACAACTCAAGCAAAGTTTGAGTTTTGAAATGTTGTAGGTGCCAATGAGAATGATTGAAACGGGACTTAACTGTCCCTTGGAGCGATTGAAAAGAGAGCTTCAAGCTCTGCTTAATGACTGCCTCTATCTATCAGCTTGGTGGTCAATTCGCTACGGAGTAACCTAGGAAGTGCTTTTAATACCTGCGCAACAGCAACTGGACATAACGTTGCTAGCATCTGCTTAGATAGCACTCCTGCAAAAACCCAACTACTGTATTCTTGGTGTGTCTGAGCGATTGGCTTCCCCACCAGATCGGCAGGCGTCCGTGCGATTCTTCTCCAGGGACAAAAAGACTCCGAAGTTCGGTCGCTACCGAGGCACGGTCGGACCGAAGGGACGCCTTCTTAAACCCTCTTTAATCCCCGGAGGAGAAGGAGGAGAAGAGGAGGAGGAGGAGAAGCCAAGTTGCTTCTTTGCGCAGTTTACTCAAAAGTCAACGTGAAGGAAAGGAACTGGCAGGCAGTTGGGGGGAGAGGGGCGCTTTTCACCTGATGCCAGAGAAACGACTGGCTTAACCGACCATAAGAAATCCAGTTTCCTAAAGGGCGACTCAACCACCCATCTTCGCGCCAAGTCCCGGGTCAAGCTGGCTCCCAAATTGGCCGAGCTCGGAAGGTTTTCTCCCCACAACTGAGCAAAATAGGGCAACGCAAGGCGGGGAGCGTGGCTGAGGAGCTGAGCGAGGTTGGGCTTTCCTTGGCCGGCCAGGGGCGCTCCTCCGGCCGGGCAACGCTCTCTCACTCGCTCGCTTGGGTAGCTTACCTGTGCGCGGCGCCTTCACCTGTTGCCCGGCCGCCTCCATCGGCGAAGGGCAGCGGCTCCCCCTTGACTTCGCGCAGCACCAGCGCCTTCTCCTCCGGGCGGGGGAACTCAGCGAAGTCCCCCCCCGCTGCTTCCTCCTCCTCCTCCTCCTCCTCCTCCTCCACCTGGCCTTTCGTCCAGAGACTCGACGTAGAAGATGGTGCGAGGGGCCGGCGGGGGACCTTGCGGCTCGGCCAGCCCATGGAGCCGGGTAGCCGGCAGCGACGTCCCGTTGAGGGGCAAGGAAGAGACGGCGCAGGGCGGCGGGCAGGCGGCTGCCGAGGACTGCGAGGGCGAGGCGGAGGAGGCTTTCTTCCAGAAGGCGCCTCCTCCTCCTCCTCCTCCGCTTCGCTCCTGGCTCTTCAGCAGCCTGCTCTGGCTCGGGCCCCAGTGCTCGAAGCTGCCGTCCGGTTGCAAACAGCCGCCCGCGGGCGCCGCCGGGTGACTGAACAGTTTCCAGCGGAGGCGCAAGATGTGCTTCACGTCAAAGTCCTTCCTGCTCGAGTTCGACATCCTGCAGCGGCGGAGGCGAGGCTGGCTCGGGTCCTGTTTCTCCGGCTCGGCCGGAGCAGCGCCCTTGCGCGTCCCGGCCGAGCTGAGCCGAAGCGAGCCCGGAGGGGAGACAAGGCGAACCGGTAGCGTCTGGCTGGCTGGCTGGCTGGCAGGGCCTCCCAGCGCCGGAGAGTCCGCAGCGCCCGAGGCGCAGGAAGCAGCCGGGCTGCCGCCGAGCGACTGAAAGGGGAAGGAAAGCACGCTACGCGAAGTAGTAGCCCCCCCTCCTCCTCCTCCTACCTTTCCCGCCTCCCCCCACCCACCCCACCCTCAACCACCACCGCTCGTTTCAGCCAGCAACGGCGGAGGCTGCACCTGGAGCGCCCCGGTATTTTGCGCTCCGATGGGGAGGAGGAGCCGAGGAACCGCGCGGAAAGTTGCCGGGCTTTTAAGCTCTGGGTTAATAACCGGGGAAGACGGGAGTAGAGGGGGAGAGAGAGGAGGGGTGGGCGAGCGAGCGAGGGTCTTTTCTGAGCAAGGGGAGGGGGTGTTAGGGGCTCCCTGGCGCCCCCAACCGGGCTGGCTTCTCCTGCGTTTGGTCTTGACTTTCTTTCCAAGCGCTGTCCAGCGCTCTCCGAGCATCTCTGAAAGATGTTTCCTGGGGAAGGGGAGGCTCTTTAGCAGCCTCCTTAGGATTCCCCATTGCCTGCCCCAGTTTCCCCTCGTGTTTTCCCCCACTTCACACACACACACCCGCCCCTGGTTGCAAAGGAGATCCTTGGAAGTCAGCCCGGAGAGACCACCACCCAAGCCCGATCCCTTCAAAGAACACCGAAGCTTGCTTTTCCTAACCTGGGTGCTGAATCAAGATCTTGAAAACTCGCTGGAGCCGGAGTTTATTTCTCATCTTCTTCACCACAAGGACAACATTTCACCCAAGCGAGCCTTTGGTCCGAGCGAGCAATTTAGGCTGCCCCGGAGCTCCTGGGCTGAGTGGCCAAGATCTTCCAAGACAAAGTCTTCTCGTTCAGAACTCTTTCATCCCTGGAAAGCCACTTCCTGAAGGGAAGGGGATGTTGTGAGTTGGGCTGGTTCCCACCTCCTCGATCTTCAGCTCGGGAACATTTTGTCCATCCAAACTCAACCGGTGAGATAATGAAGCATCCATTCTAGGTCCCTTTCTCTGACTCCGTGCAAAAGTTTGGTCAGCTGAGGATCATGCTAACTTTCTCTACCTTTTCATCGTCCCAATTTTGATCCAAGGTTGTTTAAACACGAATCGAAAAATGAAACTACGTTCCACAGTTAATTGTAAGAGAACTCACCTGTGAACTGTAGAGCTTTTTTCAGTGGTGAAATCCAATTTTTTTTTACTACCGGTTCTGTGGGGGTGGCTTAGTGGGGCGTGGCTTGGTGGGTGTGGCAGGGGAAGGATACTGCAAAGTCCCCATTCCCTCCCAACTCCTGAGGGATGGATATTGCAAAATCCCCGTTCCCTCCCCACTCCTGAGGGAAGGATACTGTAAAATCCCCATTCCCTCCCAACTCCTGGGGGAAGGATACTGCAAAATCCCCATTCCCTCCCCACTCCTGGGGGAAGGATATTGTAAAATCCCCATTCCCACCCCCCACTCCTGGGGGAAGGATACTGCAAAATCTCCATTCCCATCCCACTCTGGGGCCAGCCAGAGGTGATATTTGCTGGTTCTCCGAACTACTCAAAATTTCCGCTACCAGTTCTCCAGAATCTGTCAGAACCTGCTGGATTTCACCCCAGCTTTTATCTCATCTCTTGTAGAGATAATGTTGTGACATGGCTACTAACTAACATCTTCTCTGTTTGGGATTTACCTCCATGTGATTATTTCTCAGGTCACCCAGAAACTGGAAGAAAACTTTATTTCAGGAATAGTTAATTTAACAAAACTGGAGAAATCACCTGTAACTCTCTTTAATTCCTGCAGAAGCCTTGACTGCCACTTTCAAGCAGTGTTTTGTATAGTGCCAATCCCCAAATCAAGGAGGTTAGGCAAAAAGAACTTCCACAGATTCCCAGAATGATAGGTTAGATTGAGAAGTTGGGGTAACATCTAAGGAAAAGGGAATAATAAATCAAGAAGACTACAGCAGTGGCCAAAATTGTGGATAACTTTTGGAAAAAGTGTATTTTCTAAAATTAGCTTAATAACACCACTTTTTTTTTTGTAGTACCTTAAAATTATATATCAATGGAAAGATAAGGTTGACTCAGCCTTCCATCCTTTCTAAGGTAGGTAAATTGAGGACCCAGTTTGTGGGGGCAATAAGCTGACTTTGTATAAAAGTACAAAAGTATGAAGGTTATTGCTTAACGCATTGTAAGCCGCCCTGAGTCTCCGGAGAAGGGCAGCATATAAATCTAATTTTAAAAAAAAATTAATCAAGAATGTAATGCAATAACTTTTTAGGAAGGATTTGCTATTAGAATAGCAGTTACAGTATAAAGAAGAAAAGTGAAACACACAGAAAAAATAAGATATATAAAAATTATCACCATAGAAAACATGAGATATACAAAATGATCACCATGTCAGTTAACACTTAGTTGGGTAACCTTTAGCATGAATTACGGCCTTACAATATCTTCCCATGGAGTGAACCAAGTCTTTTAGTTCTGCAGCTGTTATAATGTGAAACCAAGATTGAAGGATTGCTTCTATTAACTGGGTTTTATTGCTGGGTCGCTTCTGACTAACAAGTTTCTTTAGCCGACTCTGTAGATTTTTAATTGGGTTAAGGTCTGGGCTATTCCCAGGCCATTCCAGCAGTAGAATATGATTATCTTGAAACTCCAAAAAAAAAAGTGGTGTTATCAAACCTCAAAAATATACTTTTCCCAAAAGGTTTCCACAATTTTGGCCACTAGTGTACAGTGTGTGGGTATGTCAATGCTGATGCACCAAGAACTGGGTTCAACTAGAAGAAAACTTTAATCATTTCTCTGGAGATCCCACTTTTCTGACTAATAGAAAAAGGTGCTTGAATTCAGGGTGGAATTCCACTTTCAAGAGTTTGGAGGATTCACTGGTATTGTAATCAGTTGACTATCTGTTGCCTATCTATCTAGCGGTACCTGAACACACTTGTAAATGGATCATAAGCTTCCTAACAGACAGGAAGCAGCAGGTGAAGCTAAGCAGAATCACATCAGATATCTGTACAATTAGCACAGGGGCGCCTCCAAAGCTGTGTGCTCTCTCCACTTCCCTCTCTATACCAATGACTGCATCTCAAACGATCCATCTGTTAAACTACTGAAGTTCACAGATGACACAACAGTGATCGGTCTCATTCAAGACAATGATGAATCCTCAAACAGACGGGAGGTTGAACAACTAGCCTCGTGATGCGACCGGAACAATCTGGAACTGAACACACTCAAAACCGTAGAAATAGTGGTGGACTTTAGGAGAAACTCTTCCATACTTCCACCTCTCACAATACTAGACAACACAGTATCAACAGTAGAGACCTTCAAATTTCTAGGTTCTACCATATCTCACGACCTAAAATGGACACCCAACATCAAAAAGTCATCAAAAAAAGCACAACAAAGAATGTTCTTCCTGTGCCAACTCAGAAAGCTCAAAATGCCCAATGAGCTGCTGATACAGTTCTACAAAGGAATTATTGAATCTGTCATCTGCACCTCTATAACTGTCTGGTTTGGTCTGCAACCCAACAAGACAGACACAGACTTCAGAGGATAATTAGAACTGCAGAAAAAACAATTACTACCAACCTGCCTTCCATTGAGGACCTGTATACTGCACGAGTCAAAAAGAGGGCTGTGAAAATATTTATAGACTCCTCGCATCCTGGACATAAACTGTTTCAACTCCTACCCTTAAAACAACGCTATAGGGCACTGCACACCAGAACAACTAGACACAGGAACAGTTTTTTCCCGAATGCCATCACTCTGCTTAACAACTAATCCCCTCAACACTGTCAAACTAGTTACTAAGTCTGCATTACTACAAATCTTCTCATCATTCCCATCACCCATCTCCTCCCACTTATGACTGATGACTGTAAACTGTTATCCTTAAGATTTATATTGACTGTTTCCCTATGACTATCATTAAGTGTTGTACCTTATGATTCTTGACGAATGTATATTTTCTTTTATGTACTCTGAGAGCGTATGCATCAAGACAAATTCCTTGTGTGTCCAATCACACTTGGCCAATAAAGAATTCTATTCTATTCTATTCTATTCTATTCTATTCTATTCTATTCTATTCTATTCTATTCTATTCTATTCTATTCTATTCTATTCTATTCTATTCTATTCTACTCTATTCTATTCTATTCTACCCCACCCCACCCCACCCCACCCCACCCCACCCTACCCTACTCTACTCTACTCTACTCTACTCTACTCTACTCTACTCTACTCTACTCTATTCTATCCAGGAGACAAGAGGATCTTTAAAAATTAGAGGTTCTAAAGGTGAGATTCTAAAAAAAGAACATTAATTGAATAGATACTTGGACTTACAGAAAAAGAAAGCTCAACCAGGCCAGATCCTTCAGCTTGCTTGGAATCTCAGGGATGGCAGCAGATGGAAACTTTATAGCCAGCATCTGCCCAACATTCTCCTAGCACCTTAGGAGTCGACACCAAGGTTCAAAACCTCTGTGGGATTTGGCAGCCCTTTGTACTAAGAAGAGTAGTATAAATATCCCAAGCATACTTTTAGTGAAGGCAAAGTCTTCTGCAGGCAGCAGCCAAGATGCTGTGATGGCATGGCTGGTCAATAATTTTGGAGCCTAGAAAAATAACACTTTGTTAAGAATGTGTTTATGGGGATAGGATACAGCCATCACTCCTGCTCCCCTTAGCTGTTGTTAAATTAGGGAACCGATGTTTATCTTAATTGTTACAAGGAGAAATACAGGCAGGAGGCTTCCAAGCAAGAATGATGAACAACACTATGGTGTCGACCCACAAAGCCTGCTGAATATCTGCTAAGTGCACACATGGGGAAACACGCCATATAAAGCTTGCATCAGCTGGCTACTTCACACAGCCGTCTCTTTATATATAATCAAAGGAAAAACAAGTTTGTTGGTGACACTTGTTTCTCACCAAGCTTCCATGGTTCCAAGACATTGCTTTTAACTCCTCAAAACCCTCTGCTCAGGCTTCGATTTCGTTT